ATCCTATGATAATAGCTAGGATGGGGTCTGCACAGCAGATCCTATGGTAACAGCTAGGATGGGGTCTGCACAGCAGATCCTATGGTAACAGTTAGGATGGGGTCTGCACAGCAGATCCTATGGTAATAGTTAGGATGGGGTCTGCACAGCAGATCCTATGGTAACAGCTAGGATGGGGTCTGCACAGCAGATCCTATGGTAATAGTTAGGATGGGGTCTGCACAGCAGATCCTATGGTAATAGTTAGGATGGGGTCTGCACAGCAGAGTAATTATGAACCCTGGTATCCCCAAACATGCCTTTGCCTTACTTTCTGTAACACTGGTATGCAGTTTAATCTGCGAGGTACACTCACCCAAAATGTTAAAATAAAATGCCACATAAAATACCTGACTAATGAACAAATAATCATGGGTGTGAGTCTAACATGAGATGATTAATGATTAATGCATCCTTCTCCTCCCGCACGCCTACCAGCCTACAGATCACAGATGATATTCTCTTCTCTGCTGCGACTGGCACATTCCAGCTGCTACTCATTCTCTGATGCTTTAAGCTGTTGTGGTGATATTCTACTTAACAAACACAACCTGTGGTCATTCTTTTTAGAAAGGAACGCTGTCCCCACGAAGCATGCATGCTTCTCCGGAGAGCCTGAGCTATTGCAATGTGGTCCCTTCCCTCCTGTGACATGCGTTCTGTGAGCATACAGTACATGTGATGAGCTGCTGAAAGGCAGACTATCACTACACAAAGCAGTGTGACCAGCACTACAACGGAAATCAACAAGGGATGATGGCAAGATTACACTATATTCAAAATAAACAGCATTCTACTCAAACATCTTCCTTTCTGCACTACATTCTATGAATGAAGCTCCAGTCAGTTTGAAAAGCCTGTCAATTCAGAAGAAGACAAAAACTGAGGCTGAGACCACCAAAACTGAGGCAGTGGTGGGGATACCCACCTTGTGATAATCTTCCTCCTTTCTATCCATGATCCCCTACACAGCATCTCACACAGGACAAGACAGACATACACAGAAACATGGAAGCTGCAGTTTTAAATGCTGTTTAGTGCTTAGTGCTGTTTCCTTGCACTCAAAATAAACCGTTTTGGTGGTTCGCTTTGTACTAATTGGAGTTGTTTTTTCTTCTTCTCAGACCAACAGTGAAAAAACAACCGTGGAGAAAAAGCAAAACAACACTGGTTAACACAGAAAGCAGATTCCGCTGCTTGTGTTTGTGTCTCTGATGTGGGCTATAATCTGTGTATTCTGTGTCAGCCCATTTACAAATCAACAAAATGAAACCAAGACGCACAAACAAAGCAGTGGTTCGCCTGCAGGATCGCCGGGTACGTGCCCTGCCTGCGATGGCCGTCCCCATTTGAACCAGGCGGCAAGGATGGCCGGGTGCTGATGTGTGAACGGCCCATGTGCCAGAACACCCTCTGCGGGTCGAGGCCAAAGGGTTGCCTGGCTGTGGTAGGCATGCAGAAGTACCGGAGAGGGGAGCAAAAGAGAAAGGCGGCAGTGATCCGCATCTGTGTCACCAGTGCTCGCCCCAGGGAGGGCACCAGCAGGGAGTACGGGCTTTAAAGTGTTTGGACGGCAAATAGACCTGAACGAATTACATCCCTACTGCGTACGCTACAGCTTTCGTTAAACGCTGTAATAACGTTTGGCTGAAATGGGCCTGAACTTGTTCACATACAAGGAGAAAAAAAAAAACACATAACGACCTATGCAAAACTAAAATCTTAATACATACAAAATCCCAAAAAAAAGCATTCATACTGGTCCATATCCCAGTATACGAGTATAGCATAAATGGCCATTTTTATTGCTAATCAAACTTTTGTCAACCTACGAAAAGCCACTTTTCGAATAGTAAAATAAATACCTATATTCATAATGAAGCCTGAAATTTATTCTTTATTATTATTACTTGTTTAGAAATCTGTGACCTACAGTCATCTGACAGATGGTACAATATTATTGCTAAGTTCAAAATATAGCTGGTATGATACAGGTGATACAGAGGCACAGTGTGTATATAAAATGCTTTTTTGAAACCTTTCAACCTTATTTATCTAATTTTTCATTTTTCATGGATTACAATTCTGCTGAATGGACACCAGTTCCCATGACGTCATCCTTCCCAAATAAAGATCGGGGAAAGAGACACAAGTCCACAAACAAGCCAACACCTCAGACCACTCCCATCTGCAAGCTCCTGCATTTATTGGGAACATTAATTTATATATATGTGGCACCATCTATTTTTGGGAGATTATCAAACAGGATTGGAAAAGATTGCTATGTCTGCTGAAACCATAAAACACAATGTACTGTTCATGACTGAATAAGAGTAATAGCATCGACTAAACTCAAATGTGTGACTCTAAAAAACCCTGTTCGTTCCCATTGGGTCTGTTATAGGTACATTAGGCCCTACCTGGGTCTTGATGATGTCATCATCCCGGTGGATCTGCAGCACATATCCACGGATACAAGTGACTGTGCAGCGGGCCCCATTGAAGTATCTGGGACTGCTGCATGCCATTTCAGCATTGCGGATGAGAGGCCCTTGGCAGTAGATGGCCTCGCATGAGTAATGAACACAACTAGGAAAAGCAGAATGTTGTAGGTTAGGGCCCTGACCTTTCTGTCAGAGGGGTGTGGTTTCAAACCTCGAGAGTAAAACATCAAAAAGTACTTTGCAACCAGTAACCAGCCAATGGGGTCATACATAAAAGCATTTTGAAAAAGAACCTAAACAAAAGGGGTATTCACATGTTACATAATAAACTCTCAAACTGAAATTCAGGATAATATTACAAAAAAAGCAAAAGAATTAAAAATAATAATAATAATAGTAAAATAGTAGTAATAATAATAATAATAAAAGAATAGAGAAATCCATTTTGAAAGGATGGTATACATGTTACATGATTTTGTCGACCTTTGTTGCTTTAAATGTGCTCCATAAATTCATTTCGATTTGATGTGAGGTCAGCTGTAAAGGTTTGCTGCATCACAGGTGACCTCATGTATTAACAATTCTGGTAAATGCACTGATAATTCTTAACACAAACAAGGAATAAAGTGACTTTTCAGTAACAACATGCAAAAGGGCACAATTTAAAACAATGTAAATTTTTGTAACAGACTCAAGACTGCAAAAGTGCTAGAGAATCGCGTTGTGTGTGTGTCAGAGTGCTGGAGGAGCATTCCCCTACAGACCCCTGTCCCCTACAGACCCCTGTCCCCTACAGACCCCTGTTCCTCCGGGAACAGACTGCAGCCTCACTGTGACCCAACACCGAACAAACAGTTACAGAAAATGGGTGGATACACAATTTTCCTTTAGGGTCTAAATTAATGCACCATAAATGCCCTCTGTTTTCTATTAAATCCAATATACCTATTTAGAACATTTACCTTCACACATCAAATTAATTGAGCACGTAACAGAACACCCAAACACAGCTCATAAGAAATCAATAATAAAACTGAATTCATGAACAATTTGACTACAGAACTAATAAGAAAGTAGTAATAGTTACTTTACATTAGAATTGAAAAGTCAATACGCTATCAAAAATAAAATACGCTATCAATTTATGGATAAATATTATATCCATACATAAATGAGAAGTCTATAATGGTACAAAACAGTATTTTTATGGACTTGCTGGGTACATACTGTATTAGAGTAACTAGCTGGTTATGCTGGAAAGGTGCATTTTCTTCATCTGTTCTTAATTAAAATTAATTATTTGAGGAAAAAGTACGTTTTTACTCCCATTTATTAGCGCGCAAGAATATGACACAGTTAGCGGTACTGTTATAAAACCGTCATGGGGGGAAATGATTCCACCTTATATTCAGACTGCTGAAAAAGTCTTCATAAATTTCCGAAAAAGCTGAACAGAACCTAGTGCTTTAATGACACTATCTGACACTGGTGAGTGTTAATGTACTCGCTCGTGCCAGGAAAGGCGAATTATGGCTACTTCACATTCGCTGCACCTATTCACAGATGTGTTAGAATGCCCAGCTGAAGTTTCATAACAAACCCTGACACTGCCATAAAAGTGTTATGAGTGGAAAAATGGCTCCCATTTTACATTACAAGCACAATGACAACCTTCATTAATCATTTATACAGAAGGTCTAAAGCCCAGCACCAACTTACATTACTGTTATATAGTCCTCTCAAAGTGTTTGATGAGACACCAAAAGCTGTAAAATAGACAACAGTTTTTGGAAAGAAACAAAAAAGCTCCCGTGGTTTATTTCAAATATTTCATATGATAACTGAATGGGACTGGGACTGGGACTGGGACTGGGACTGGGACTGGTCCCACTACATACCACGGTAAGAATGCCCTTTTACGGTCTTATCTAAAAGAATAAAGAGCTAAAATGTATTATTCCGGCTCAGTTTCAGATATCCAAACAAGTTCTTTGCCTACGAGTACCTAGGTTGTTGAAAAATGATTTAATAGCGTAAAGGTTTTATTGAAGATGCACTAGATGTGAAGTGTAGAGTGGTGCTGGGTGAATTACTTCTCCTTATCAGATGAACGGCTTGGACGACCGGATGCGGGACTTAGAGCGGTAACTGGACAGCATAACACAGACAAAACACAAACTCGGCCCGCTAAGCACAGCTGTCAGCCATTATATCTGCCAGCCCTGGAGCAGAGAAGCTACAAAACCAGCTTCCTGGCATGTGGAGGTGAGAAAACACGCAGCGCTGTTCATTTATTCTGTGTGGTTTCCACAACATCAAGGGATGTTACTGGGCCACCGTCTCTCATTACGTATGCAGTAATGAGTCGACACACGCATGTGTGCTCAAGCCCATGCTATTTGAAATATGCTCCCTGGAGGTCAACTGCAGTCGACAGCACAGTTTTTTTTTTTCTTTTTTAACGCAAACCGAGACGGGCGGTGGACTGTCCCAGTGACTCAAGCATCTGTTGGTATCTACTGGTGTTTCTGCTTTCACTACTCACAGAAACAGAATTACTGCACCAGCTTGGGCTAATCAAGGCCTGCAGCAGGGGCTTAAGAAGTAATTACATTCAAGCCACAAACAAGACAAGAAAGAAGGTGTTGAATTTGAAAATGTGTGTGTGTGTGTGTGTATGACAAGTATTGATTATCTCACTCCTTCATGACCGTGTATGGTACCATACAAATACTATATATAATGGGGTGATGACATCATATCGGCAAATAATCACAATTACTAATAGTTTTCACTAATAGTTACACATTATAATTGATTAAATAAACTCGCACCATAGTGGCTCGGTGGGTAAGACTGTAGCCTCACACCTCTAAGGTTGCTTCCAGCCCCTGCCTCTGTGAAGCTATGCGGATTGAAACTTCTAAATTTCCCATAGTCTGATTGCATGTGTGTGTCCTGCAGCTGTCTGGCATTCCATCCAAGGTGTCCTCGTTCCCTGTGCTTCCTGGAATAGACTCCTGCAGCTCTGTACCAAGTAAGCAGTTAGAACACGGATGGATGGACGGATGGATGGACCCAAAATATTAATTGAAAGACAGTAGTCAAAAATTACGCCTTTTGCATATGATGACCAGGCATCTATCAGAAAGAGAAGAATTCATATTAAGAAAACTGGTCAAACGAGGGTCTCCAAATATGTTCCACATGTCCACCTTGAAATGTGTAAAGCTACTGCAACCAAACTAAAGGGGGGCGGGGGGGTACTATTACCCAAAAATGGAACATAAAACTGGATTATGTTAATAGCTATGTTGTTAACAACTTTGGGGGATCCGGGACTTGGTGTTTTTCACAGCAGCAGAAAAGTATTACAAAAGACATGGTGTTGGCAGCACAAAATTACTGGCCTGTTACTCACATCTGACACAAGGCCAGGCCAGAAGACCAGTGGAAGGGGAAGCAGGAGAGGAGGAAGCAGGAGAGGAGGAAGCAGATGAGGCAATGAACAGCCACTAAGTCTAAGGTAACCATGCTTTTGTCTCTCGCGATATTGTGTCCAAGAAAATATCCAACTTGTACTCTAAACCAAGAAAAACAACCAACATCCTAAAGGATCCTAATGATTTCTCAGAAGCTAACGAATGTGAATTCATCATTTCTTAGTAAATGAAAGGGTACATCCACTGGGTAATTATTTATCACTGCTCTCTAAACCTGAACTGAAATATTTTTTTCTTTAAATACTAAATATGTCACGAAATGAATCAATAAAGCCAAGTGCCCATCTTGGTGTGCAAAACAGGGCTTGTTTTGGACAGTACTTTGTTTTTAGAGAAAAAGCACCCTGAAGCAACAACAGGTCGGCCGTTGTGAAATACCAAAGATCCCTTGGAAGCAGTTTTGGCGTAAGTCCATGATGTTGGTTCCGTCCAGTGTTCCAACCACTTGGCTCGCAGTAATGGACCCATCTTTATTCCACAACCTCATACTGTACACTTTGCCATGCCAGTACAATAAAAACCATACAGTATTAAGCTGAGAGTTGTTAAGAGCTACACATTTCAATTGTTATTGTTATTATTATACTTATAATTGTCATTATCATTATTTCCTGATTACCTCAATGCTCTGCATGGGGTAAGAGATTTTAGCAGGGGAGCAATCAGGCTCAGATTACACGACAGTACAGCCAATGCCAACAGAATTGTGTGTGTGTGTGTGTGTGTGTGTGTGTGTGTGCCCAGCTACGCACTGAGTGGTTTTGTCTCTATGCTACTCTGACCAGTTTGCCTTTGACTTCCGTCTGAGTACCTGTATTCTTGGCACTGTTAGACAGAAAAAGACTACAGCAGACACCTCTCAAAGAAGAAGAAGAAAACAGGCAGGAACAGGACTACAAAGCAAATTTATCCAAGTCGTGTGACCTATCATAAATAGATTCCTGACATCAGCGTTCATTCTGCGCAAAATCAACCTGCTTTCTATATACACTGGTAGTATATTAAATATTCAAAGTAGTTGGTACCATCTAATGAAATAAGCAATGTTTACACAAGTGCATCTACTATGCTTTGGGTAACATACCTCTGACCCATAGGGTTGTATATCTCATTGCTCTGGCAACCGCTGATGGTGATGGGGTCAAAGTATTGGAAGGACCGGAGGCCCACCCCAGAGATGGCCACCAAATGTGAGCGAAACTTCACCACGATGGCTTTGGTGCGGTAGAAGGCCATGCTCAGGTCATGGTGCACAGGAATCACCAAGGGATTGTTCCTACAGCTTAGACGCCATTCCCCTGGCAGATGATAGAAACAAGGAGATCGCCCATTCAGACAGGTGTAAACAAGGCACATTGCTGTGTGTTACCCGAATTACTGGGTTAATGTAATTGTACAGATTGAGAATTATCTGAGGCAGGCTCCACTCAAGGGTATTGTACGACCCACTATGACATAGTTATGATGTCTGATCAACTACAATCAGAGGAAACAAAAACACACAAACCTAAACTGTGTATCTGTTCCTTGGTGTCCATTAGTTGAACAGTAATATTGCATTGGGTCTGGTCAATGTAACCGGTCCCATCTGCAGCCAAATGAATTATGACAGCAGCAGCAACCATTGGGTGAGAATAGTGTGCCTGCAGGGAAACAGAATGACACCGTGTGGGAATGTTCTTACACACATGTATATCTGTTCAAATACACGACACTTTTTACTTTTCATTGTATATCCAAGCACATTAAACATTCCCGGTAATTACAAAACAAAAAAAAAACAAACAAACAAGCACATGCCTTTTTGCTTATAACTCACTCCATATGTACCCCTAATATCTGCCGACAGTCCACTTGAAAATCTGCTCTAACCTTGAGCCAGTAGTGAGGGTTCCAAGACTGCTGTTGGGCCTCTTGACATGGGAACCAAGCGTACTGGGAGACTCCATCGGAGAGGTCAAATGCCTTTGACTGGCAGGTCTAAAGACAACACAAATCAGATAGTACACAAAAGGTTAGCATGAACCGTGTAACATTACTCTGTTTGTAAATAGGGATGATCGCTATTGGAGACAACACGAAACAATACTGCCTACGTTATAAATCTTTTTTTTTCCAGAAACATTCTCCAAAAATATAACAAGCCTTGAAGTTCAAAAATGAACTTGGAAAGAGAAGATACATTTGTCTTTCCTGTATATTCTGTCAGACCGTGACCTACAGCCATATGGTTCTCCCCTACGTAATTCTACTGAGAAGTTGCTAGGGAAAACAAAGATATGTTGATCTGTTACATATGATATGATGGAGTAACGTGGCAAGTCCATTAACACAAAAAGAGCATGAAAATCATGAGTCGAGAGAGGACCTCTGATCTTTCCTCAAGTCTGATCCAGGAACTCTGCTCTTCATCTTGCACAGATGTATCAGTGATAACTACTTCAGCCCATTCTTACTGCTTCTCCAGTGTTTCTTCATTTGAGTTTATAATAGTGTATCTTTATTTTTGCAGTTTTCAAAATAAGGCAGTATACAGGCAGTATGCAGACGCCACCAGGAGGAAGTCAAGTATCCCATCGCATCTAATAGTAACCTATGAGTAAATATTGTAAGCTTGCAACTAAGCCTTACATAATTAAGCGTCCACTCTTTTCAGAATCTGTTATTTTAAAAATTTTAAACTGCAAACAGAATAAATACATCCCTATTTCATTTCATGGCTGAGTATGAAGTTGCATAAACTTAAAATGCCATTGATTTAGCTTCTACTGCCTTTACAAACATCGTGCCGTGCTTATAGTAAATTTACCAGAAGAGACCCTGAAATCCAATGCTTTTGAAGTAATTACTTTATATATATATATAAATATATTTATATATAATATAATATAAAATAATATATATAATATTATATATAATATAATATAAAAATATCATATCTTTTGTGAAAAGCTGACAATCAACCTCAAAGAAATTAAATTCAGGTAAAGTGGTCAAACTATGCAATTAAATATATTTATTATATATTAACAGGGCCGCTGTCACACTTCAGTGTAAACCCAGTTACTGTTATTTGAAATAGACACCCACACAGGTAACAAATCTGAGGTAACAAAATGAAAAATTATATACTTGTATACAATCTCTAAAGTCAGCAAAAAAAAAAAAAAACAAACTGGAAAACGCACAAGAAAGTTCTAAAAAGTCCCATAAACAAGAAGCATCCCAGGATATGCATTTAAATGTATACCATGATGTACTTGCCATCTGGAGTCAATTGGTATTCTTACACATTCATCACTATAAAAAGGCTAGACCTAAGCACACAAAGCTCATCCCCAAAACTTTCTAGAGGAGACTGATGTTCTAATAATGTCAGATCCCTGACAATAACATTTAAATGTTTTCAGTTACCCCTTAACATTAACAAGGATGTTTTGTTCAAGCTGTCTGCTAGCTGTAGACAGGTCAGTATAAAGTAGATGAGCTTTCCAGTTGCTTTTGGCAGGCAAGCTGATTTCATCTATAGAATTGTGTGTTTCATTGTGTCTCAAAGTTGTCGAGGCTTGAGGTCAAGAACCCTTGAGTGACTCCAAAAAGTTACATCACTGCGAAGAGTAATAAAATCTTTTCAACCAAATGAAATTTATGAAGACAAAGTTAACTTTATCAATGAAAGAGCCTTGTTAGTATAGCCTGTAGGGGAAAAGAGAAACAACAAAAAAATTAATAGGTTCACTTTATTGCAGAATATGGCGGTTTATTACCTTGGTAGCAACTTAAAAGTACAAGTTTTAATGATTGCAGACTTCCTATTGTGTAATGTCATTGGAGTAATTTTTCACTTAAGCCTCAAATGGAAAGAGAAAAGAACCGTAGTATCTTAAACATTGCTCCCAGAATCTTGCCACAGCACAACTCAGAATGTTCTTAAGTTAATTACAAGCAAATTACCTGAAGCGCTCACTACTGAAACTCTGTAATAGGGGGGTGAGTCTGCAATTTACTATTGAGACGTAATTTAGGCCATCTGGAAATTTACAATTAGCCTCAGAAGCAGCGTGGTTAACTCTGGCAAACCTTGGTCTGCAAAAGCGCATTTTGTTTATAGAGTGCCACTTGAAATGAAGCTAAACAGAAAGAGCTGCCAGTAGACTTGTCACGCTGGGATAGCAAAGGATCATGGGGACGAGGGGCCGGGCTAGCCAATCCAGACACACGTGGTCCCCAGTGGCCAACCGCCAGAGGAGTGTCAAAGTTCTGTGAGAAAGCTTTGTTTGGAGGTCCCAGGGCTGATTCGGCCTTTAATGGCAATGCAAACAATGCAGGCCTCCGCATCAGCAAGAATGCAGTGCATTGCCATGTTCTGCTGAATTGTCACCAATAGGCCATACAGCTTATTACCGGCATTTGTTATAAAAAAAATTAAATCCTCCCCCAGCGCATGCACACACACACACACACACACACACACACAAACAAATAAATAGTTAAATAAATAATCAAGGTAATAATTGCCCTGTTTAATCAGACTCACAGCATTTCCTGCCGATGAGGAACCCCCCGCAACGGTAAAATCAGGTTACCAATGCAGGCAGAGAGAACACGAAAAAAAGGTCTATGACGGAATAGCAAAAGCGCAGGACATAGAATTACTGCTCTAATCGCATCTACCACTGTGCTTGTTCACAAAGTTTTATAGCAATTATAGCTACAATGGTTACATTTTTTGCTTTGCCAAACTGATGATTTTGAATAAAACACAATTGACTAAACACATTTTCAAAAATACAACTACATCAAGATTTTATGAACAACAAACAAGGTTTGTTTAGAATACATTTGTTTTTGAAGTATTTTGAATATTGTAAAAACCAGTAACTAATATCAGTAAAAATCACAGAAAAGGGTAACAGTTATGTATAATAATGATGTGTTTGTCTATATGTGTACTGTTACTGTTAAGTCATACAGGAGCCAATCTATGTGTTAGAAAACCTATGTTGTTATGTTTATGTCTTAATTTAGAGGCATTTAAACAAAAAAAAAATAGAATAACTACCATTTAGAGTGGTCTTTTAAATGGTAGGAGAGGGCAGACAGAATAGCATGTTCATTTATTTTTATTTATTTATTTTTAAGAGAGAAATGACGGGTGTGGTAAGTAATGGACAAAGCGTGTCGCTAACCCAGTACATGGAATACTGAACCATCCCTCTACTGGAAGAGAGCAGCGTGCTGCAGATTATACAGCACAATAACAGGATATAATCTAAGCTCAGAGAGTTTTCTTTCTCTTTGCCCTTTAATGTCTCTACGTTAAAAAGGCAGGTATTCTTTGGATGGATATCAGCACAGGCACCTAATCTAAGAAAAATGACACTTCAACATGCTTTACTGTTCACCGCTGTGCATCTGGGACTTGTGGCACTACAAATGTTGATTGTTTTCAAATCGTAATCAGACAGACCTGCTTTGCAGTATATGTGTCTGCTTAATAATCTTTAGTACAGGGTTCCAAACTTCAATCACATTGTCACGCCCCACCTGTGGACAGGCAATGGGAAGCAGCTGCCTCGGACCAATGCCCATGAAGCACGACAATAACCGCAGTCCAACACGAGGTACTGCTTCATGTACAGAACCAAACTGAGCGTAATTCTCCGTGTCTCCCATCTAGCTCCGTTCCACCCTGCTTGCCCTGCACAACTCTCCCTCCTGCCCTTCCTCCCCTTGCTCTTCCTCCCTGTGAGTTCCTCTTGTGACCTATCTGTGTGTCCGGACAGATTCCCCGGTAACCGAACCTCTCGCCAGCGACCTTGACCACGGTCCCAGATCCCGACCTTGTGCCTGCCGTTTCTTCCTGATCACCCGGATTTCGACCCCGCTGGTACAACCACGTCTCTGTCTGATCCCTGTTGCCTGTTTCACTCAGCCGGGCATAAAGGCTCAACGACCTGTCCATCTGCGGGTCCGAGTGTATTAATTACACACATCTAAAAAAACCTTTTCCTGCATGTAGTAGCTGAGAGCTACCCTGTCTTGACGATGCATTTAATGCGTCATATTGCAATGCATTTTTAGTTTTGCTTGGACAGCGAACTGTACAACCATCTGAACCCCTACTTCTCCACCATGGATCCACGTACGCGGAGTTTACTTGCCCCCCCGTATTGTCGTGGGATTCCCCCCCCCCCCAACACCCAAATTGCCCGTAGGTGTGTGAGTGTGCCCTGCTATGGGTTGGTGCCCCATTCTGGGTTGTTCCCTGCCTTGCAACTGTAGCCTCCAGCATAGGCGCCCCCCCCCCCCACCCTGAATAAGACAAGTGGTGACAGAAGATGGATGGATGGTATATATAAAGTATTTAATATTAACATCTTTACCTTAGCTAAAAAATAAATGTGAAAAAATGATAAAACTACATTAGCCGTAATCAGATCAGTATACTGCCTGTTTTTCCTGCATGATACTTTACTTCCTTGATAAAGTCTACTGCGCTTAGCTAAATAGGTCACAACATGATGGATGAATAAATAACAGGATGGATAAAATAAAGCTGATGTAAAATACTCCTCCTGAAAATGAACTTGTTCATTACACACTATTTTGCTACATTTTATTATGTAGTTTTTAGGGGTTTGGGGATCACATACTGTAGAAGAAATCAATTTTATGACATTTAACTCAGTGACAAGTCTGCTGGCTATAATTATTGGCAGAAAAGAAATGGTCCGTGTTTGACTGTTAATGGCTAAAATGCGAATGAATTTCTTGCATCTAAGTCATAATCAATAAATGTGCTCAAGCTAGGCTGATTGTAAAGAAGACTCAACCATTGTTAGCTTTATTTGGGATTACATCAACAAAAAGCATAAATTAGCTAACTTTGCCGGTATATGGGCTAAAGGCTGCAAAGTCTAAAAGGCAAATATATCAATGTTACATAGAAGCTCCACACTACGAGAGGATAGTAGGAAAGCCAAAGAATGCAGTATGAAAAGAACATGGGAGAAGGCACAATGCTGGCTTTCATATGGGCCAGAACCACCTTCACAGATTCTCATGGTGTGTCTTGCTAAAGATGGCAATGGGAAAAAAAAGGTCCAATTTTAAAAAAGCAAAAAACTACTCTAAAATGACGGAAAAAAAAAAAACTTAATATATATTGTGAATTTTGTTGTGCAGTCTGTGACGCATTTGGTGCCCCTTGATAACCCATCCATTTCATTGATGTGGTTTGTGTGGTAATATTAAAATTCCCCCGTAACACTTTCTAATACCATAGGTCTTTGGGGATGACTGCCACACAGCAAATATGGCGAGTGACGCTGTTCCTATGTATAATATCTTTCTTCTCTGTTTTAAAATCCAAATGCTATTTAATATCTACAAGGTGTGGTTTTTTATGACCAAAAACTGTGAAAAATGATCTCACAATCACCTCCCACGCAATTTTTTAACCTGAAATTAAAAGTAATAAATCAAAAGCTCCTGGCACTTCTTTAGAACAAATCTTTTTATGGGGCAGAGTGATTAAGTGCCTGTTTTATAAAAAGAGCAGAATTCTCTTTATATATTTTGAAAAAGAAGCACTGTTCTGAAAATGTGTCTTACTAGAAACAATTAACTGCATAAGGTTTGGGCCCAGAGATCAGATGGTGGAAACAAACATACCCAACTTTTAAGCTCACATATTGCTGCTGCAAGACCTGGAATGCAATTGCTCAAAGCTGTCCGACACCCGATTTTGACATCAGGCCCAAGTCATGTCACATTTGGTAAAATCCAAGGCCAGATGGGACAGAAAAATGCACTTTCAACATTTTCACTTGTTGTATTGTAGCATGGAACATAGTGTGGTGAATTTCCTGATGGTTCTTATACAGAGATGATTTTGAAAGAGCCTAGAGAGTGGTTGTTTCAGTATTTCTGACAATGAGACTTTGCATGCTTAAAATTTACCCACAATTGTACAGTGGTGCTATGTGTCTTACAGAAGGAGTCCCTGGTGAGCGTCTCCCCTGCAAGGCTCCCAGAAAAAGCACGCGAGCTATGCTGCGGGAATGTCTCTTTTGGCTGGGCAAACGCTGAAGGGGAACCACAAGCTCCTCGGCTGCTAGGCACTATGGTGGCATGTATATTTTTATTCCTAAGTAGAAGCGCTGCGTTGCATGTTATATAATTTCTCACCCGATTTTAGGCTTGGCATGTTGACAGTGCATTGCTTCTCCTTTGAGCAGGCATGATAAAAGGGAGTGCTGCGATCTCAGGTAGCCAAACAGCGGCCTGAGATCCCTGCTTTAGCGGCAAGGTACAGCCTCACAGCCACCTCCAAAGCAGGATTCGCATCAACTGGCAGAATGTTTAGCATCTGGACATAGAAGGAGCCTCTGAGAACACAGACAGAGACTTTAGAAAAGCACAATGCGACACATACAGTCTGGTGAAGCAGGCATCAACTGTCGCAGTTTGAGTTGAGCCTGGATGGATTGTAGCTACTGTAACAAAACAGAAATTCAGAGTAAACCCTGACGAGCCTAAACTTGGAGCTCTGCTATCGTGTGACTCTGACACAAGACAAACACTGAACAACAACCAGTTTCTATTATTGCTTTGTGAAAAGGGAAAACTGAAGTCAGCAATACTTTTTGGTCTGATGTTTTCTATTTCATGCATGAAGGTACTCATTAGTGACATTTTATACCTGCAAACAAATATCAGTATGTCTTCATGCTGGTGTAAGCTAATCTTTTATTATGAGATATATGATGATAGAAGTGGAAAGGTTGAGAAAAAAATACTTTTTTTGATGACCAGGGTATAGAACTGATAATTATAACCTGATAATCTAGAAAACTTAAAAAAATTAAAAAAAAAAAAAGAAAAAGAAAAAGAAATTAAAGACACTTCTTTGAAAGAAAACTATTGAGATATCAACTAGCTAACATACCAGTTGGTAGGAATAAATATTTTATTATCTGCAGAAACCAAAATGAAAACAATCCTCTCTTTGCACATAAAGGGACATATTGAAAATGATGTCAGCTGTCGTAGAAGCTAATAAAGGTTGGATCATCTAAACCAGAGCACTAATTCATGTTCACTTTGTTTATTCTTCTTATGTCTACTGTATGCTTTCTAAGTTTGTAATATTCATTTGTCTGTGCATGTAAAAAAATACATAGAAAGCGAAAGAAATCATTCAACACATGCTAAAGATTTGTTTCAAGTCAGTGTTGTGATTAGCCATTTTTATTTAAACAAAACCTCAATATCTTGATCTGCAAAACACTACAGACACAATTTTAATATATATGGTGGGACATTAGTGTCATAAAGATTGATATTTTGGTTGTTTGTGCAGAAACATATTACTTACGTCTCTGGTGTAAATCTAAACAAATAACCTTTAATGAAATAAGCTATAGTATTTCAGTTTCTGTATTTTAAGTGTCGGGGAACTCAAAGCCAGAAAAGTGAAGACTTCTCTCTTCATTTTGTGCTTGTTTTCACTTACACGTGCAAAGGCGACAGTCACAAACAACAAATATACGTTGTGGTAGCTTATCCTGTAAGTACCAATTTATCAACAGTAGGATCAATGCTATATTCCATAATAACGAGAATAAAAGCTGTACGCATTTCCCGAAAAACAGTATGCAGCTAAATGCAACAGAACTCATTTGTCTATGGAATCTAATTATATAAAGTAAAGACACAACTGTTGCAGGTACATTTGCAAAAGAGCAATAATGACTACGTCTGTCACATTACCCTAAAATGAGGGAAGGCTCACATGTAGCACCTAGTTGTGAATCTTTAAAAATACATCTTCATATTGCTATTTTGAATCACTATGTCAGTTCTGTCCCATTCCATTCATTTTAGTTTGTCCTGCTCCAAATTACTGCGGTTTGGGTATTATTTGTTATACAGACTGCTGTTCCAGCAAAACAAGCAGCCCAGCTCATTGGTGAAGCAGGTAGGTCTGCCACTCAGTGTGGTGAACGTCAGCTTTGAGGGTCATTCTTTCCTAGAATAAAGGATGTTATCCTTAAAGAATGAACTTGATGCCGGTAAACTTTCACATTTCAAAACTGCTTCCCATACTTCTGACATTATAAAACCATCAAAGGGCTTTGTGGTCTTCATTCCAAACCATGAGCGTATGAGGTCTGCATTATTTGTAAATAAGGATTCCATGGGCAACCCACACTTGGAGCAGTTTGTGTGCTTATTCATCATTACAGCAGTGATGCTGATTCCAACGTGCACGCTCATCCAGCCAGCAGAACAGCATGAATATGTGGATTCTACATAGGGCCACCCCATCTCTTCAGCTCCAGAAGTGGGTGAAAAGGAGAGCAGTGAGAGATTCAGAACATCTACATTCTATTCTAAACACGCCATAAAAAATTAATGAAACTGTCATCAGGTCAGAAGTGGTGATAAAACAGTTTGATGTCATTCTTTAGGGCAGTGTTTCCCAAGTCAGTCCTCGGGGACCCACGGCCGGTCTACGTTTTGACTCCCTGCAAGGCAGTCTGGGGGTCCAGAGGGGTCCAGGTTGGGGACCACTCCTTTAGAGATTCATTTACAGAAACACTAGTCTGTCCTGGTTCCCTCAATGCTACAGGCTGAATCCTTTGACTCCCAGAATCAGTACACCACTGCCACTCAATTCACAGCTATGAATGAATTAATTCAATACATATGTGCAAGATGTAATTGTAATAAAAGCACCATCTTTATGCAACATGAACTGAAGATTCATAATCGCATTACTATTTTGGAGTCTTTCAAACTGTATTGGGGCAAATCTGTCAGTTTCTGTAGACAATAGCTTACAGACAGAGACAACATAGCTTTGCTCTTACAGAACAGAGGGCTCATCCGCAGGGCACTCTGCCATACTGCTGAGTCCAGCATTTCCTTTGTTGAAAGCAGGATCCAAGCGAAACATTTAGTAAACATAGCAAGGTTAAATCAAGAAATCATTTATACTCATTACTCTTTTTATTGGCTTTGGGAGACCCTGGCAGTTGTTGCAGTGGTTGGCTTTGGCCCCACAGGACAAAAGGAATGCACAAGCATGAATTCATAATTCTCTTTATGTAACTTAAGTAGCCTAAATATATAAATATTTGTCTACCACTGACAGCCCCTCCTCACTGGGACACTTGGCATGGAGAAAACTCCAACAGTTTTACACCACGAATGTGTATTTAGCAATTAGTTAAATAAGGCAGGATGCAAATATCTGACACTAAATTCAATGGCCCTAATCTATTCTAAAGCCATGTGTTTAGCTTGTGTGTTCTGTCATTCTTCAGTCCAAGTGTAACTTCATATCCCAAAGCTAGTGACACTGCTGCAGTCAGATGCCATGATATAAATACTGCAAAAAGAGGACAAAAATCTGAGGGATGCCTCACCTTGGTCACCGCAGGGTACCCCACAGCAACATCTGCTGGGCAGTGAACACTCTCCTCGTGGGACACCTCAATCTCTGTGGCCCACTGGTCCAGGAAACCGCTCGGCGTGTAGAGGCCACAGTCCCTCACGCTTCTTTCCCGCTCGAATTCTTCACAGATACCATCTCCGTCGTAGAAGTAACATATGCTGGGCTCATCTGCAGAGGAACAGGCAGGGAGGGGGTAAGTCCCTTATTAAGTGGGGGGGGGGGATACGTCCCTTATTAAGTGGGGGCAAATCTAAAACCACACGAGAATTGACATGGGAGCAATTTTCAGGCACCCATTTCAAATGAAGTTTTCTTTTTTCTTTTTGTGAGATGTAAAATATGGATCATAAAAGCAAGAATAGAATATCATTCAACTTTCACTTGCCCCATCAAAAGCTATAGAGTGTAGTTTCAGTTTGCATAGAATTACTTAGAATTCTGTACTTTATCATCTCTGAAGATACATATCTAGTTTCCACTTCCAGTGCTGAATTTTATACGGGCAGGATTTTTGTTATAACCCATGATATATACTTTATTATTTCTTCAGATATTGCGTAAGTTGTCAATACATCAATAATAATACATCCTTTAAAAACTTGGCAGTTCCATTTTGGCTTTGGTGTGGAACTTTGATTTTGCAAAATATTGTAAATCTAATTTTGGTCTAGAGGGCATGTTTACTTCTTTGGGCTTCTTAGACTTCAAGGTGTCAGCCACATGTACAGTATGTGTGTGTATATATATATATATATACTGTATATATAGATATATACTGTATATATACACACACACACACACACAGACACAGCGAGCCGTGTTTTCACTGGGATGCAGGTCTCCCACCTGCTCCAGCCTGACTGGACCAGTTTGCAGTTGAAAGGACCTAAACCTGGCACAAGTGTCCAGGAAACATGTTTGCAGGATGTTCACTTATCAATCTCAACACACTTTCCCCCCTGTGGCCAAAACTATGTGCCCCCCTTGGCTGCTGATAACAAGGGGCACCCCCCCTTGGCTGCTGAAGCTGGTACCCAGCACGCAGAGGAAAAGTGCTAATGTGAGCGACCTGAGGCCCCCAGGGGCCCCTTGTGGCCACTTTTCCTGTTTTGAAGCACGTTCCGGTGATTGACGTGTTGCTACCATGTGCACATTATGCAACGACCAGCATCCCATAAAACCGTTTTTTTTTTTCTTTTTTTTTCTAGAGAAGGTTAAATTTCAATAACAGCCTTATCTGAAAGCTTTGTGTTTTCTTGGGTTTTTGTCCAAAAACAATATAAATAAAAGAAAAACAGTGACAATGGGATGAGTAGCACCATGCAATTCCTTCCACAGACTGACACTCATAGTTGGCAATGCCTGTTTAATTTTCTTTTTTTTAAAACCCTGTCAACATTACACAATTTTACACGGTAAGAGCGTCATGATACTCTGAAATAGACAAGCCATAAATCAGCAACTTTGTGTGCTAGGAGTTGCATTTTTGAAAAGGGGCTGCTGAAAATGATTCGGTATTCACGACAGGGCACGGCTGTTTCCAGCTGGTACTCATGGGCCCAGTTCACCGTGGGTTGTATCATTGCTCTAAATCTAAGTGAGTTAGTGCAGCCGACGATGTTTGCTAACCAGAAGGTGTCACCCTTCCCTGTGTCTGGGACACACACTGAGCACCACCATTGGACGCTACAGGTGATGACTGCAAAATGTGGGGAAGCTCGGTGGGCCATTTGATAAAATAGGGAAAAACATCGGAGTAAAATTTTTAAAAATCAGTGGGGTCATTACATGCTTATGAACATATTTTAGTTTTACAATTTTTTTCTTGAACGTTATTGGCACTGTTTAATCAAGAGTCAGTCTCTAACCAACATCAATTAAAATAAAGAAATCAATGCAATTACACTCTTTGTTCCCTTGCTTGTAAATACATTTAAAAAGCTGTACTGAAATATCGTCTTATCTACAGTATAATATCTATTCGTATCCATCCATCTTCAAACTGATTATCCAGAGTAGGGTCTCATTTCCATTTTATTATTACATAATAATTTCTCTTTCTGGATAAGATTTGACTGTCTGTCTTTCAGTAAGATGGAAAATTACAGTAAAACAAAAAAGGTAGACATCTGCGTAAACATTGATCTACGTTATTATAGTGAACGATTTGTATATAGAGTTACAAGAAATTTAAATTTGCACTTTTTTGATATACTATTTAACCCAAAGTATTTTAGAGTAAATTCTCTGGATTGTGATACATATTAAATGGGAGAGGACAGGAGCATAGATGATGGCAAGATCTTGTAGTGATCTTCAATGTTCAAATTCTATTTTTTTTTTTTTCAATTGTTTACTTTTAGATGTAGGACATAATCTTAACAACATTATTCTTGGGTGGAAAAAACAGAAAAAAATGAGTATGCACAATTAATCAAAAATGCAACAGTTTGAAGTAAGCTTTTTCATCAAGTTATTGTAATTGCCATTATGTGCATGAATTAACACACACAAATCATTCATCTAGACTGAGAAGATCTTCCTCTTATGAGTTTTTCCATTTTCTGGTTTCTCCAGAAATGCAAAGGAACTCCATTGATCTTTATTCTTGTTTCAAAAAAATCTTGCATACACTGGCTTGCCAGTTCAAAGCCTTTGAAATTCAGGCTTCAGTCTCAGGCGAGTGCCCAGAGTGTATCTTCCAGCAGGACAGGACAGACACGGAGTCATGCGAAAAGTCACACATCTTTTGTAAATGAGCAGCAACAGCAAAGCTACCCGGTGCCCAGCTCTCCTACTGCGCTTCACGGTGAGGGCCACAGGCCAATGCCAATGCTACGTAGGGTCACTGCTGAGGAGAGTAACAGACCAAGAGAACAAGCCCTTCCGAATCTGTCAGAACTCACCCTCACAGGTCATCAAATCATCCTGATTCAAACATGATAGCTCAGCCTAGAATTGGGATCATCCTAAGACATATGTGAGCTATAAGGAAAGTCTCCCCATTCAGACTCTATGGCCATTTCTCTAGTTCACCTGAGTTACAGTGTACACTTAGAGAGTAAAAAGCCTACTCACACTGCCAAATCAGCATTTAAAATATCCTGCTTTATCTCATTTTGTATTTAGTTTAAGTACAGTTGACAAAACCTGAGATAAATAGATAATATAATCCACTTGTTTCATAAAAAGATTTTGGATTGAATACAGGAGAATTTCAGATGATCAGTGCACTTTATTAGGTGATAAGAAGTGCTCCATTGCACCGTGGCACTTTGTACATGCTGACAGAGAGCACTGTAGTTCCCACAGGCTTTTAGGAGTGAGATCACAGGCTACATGGGGCTCTCCAAGCCAGCAAAGCTCTCCAGCTCCTATGTTATTATGTCAAGGGCCTTGCATAGAAGGCTTTTGTGGGATACCTGCACATACCTGAATGCATTATACAGAAACGATCCAAAACCTATTTACAGTTTACTTGACAAAATTCTCTCGTCCTCGCATTTGAATCGAGGGAGAGCTTCACCACCTGCCTTTACATCTTAGTCCAGCGTTAGTCATTTTTCATTATAGCATTAGGTCTCAGAAGCCTATTTCACATAAGCACAGATTCACCATTTCAGTAGTTATTAATCACCTACAGATGAAGCAGGATAAGCTCACTGTTTTGTATTGGAAGATTGGGGACTCTGTGCAGGCCAGAAAGGTACGTGGCTCCAGCTCGGTCCTTGGGAGTCTGACCCCCTGAATGGGCAGTAGAAGGTAGGTCAGGGGGACTCGGTGTTTCAGCAGCGTGAGAAATGAGGTTACACCTCAATGCAAACCTTTTCTTAAATAGGAGCCCTGAGACACCGGCTCCGGGTGCGCTACCCTTGATCTCTTGAGGCCAGCGGAGGTTGAGCTCATTCAGCCCCACAGACTTTAGCTTTCTCACTCATCTACTCAGTGAGAGTGCTGCCAATTAAGGCGGCGTCAGGCCCCTGACAGGCCAGCTTCAGTGGGGTCACGAATTCCTGCAGGTTTCTCAGGTCAAGCGAGGACAAGCATTCAGCTACTCAAATAGACATTCATGGATTTCACTTCAAAGGGAGGAATTCTTATATCCATTCTTCTCCCTAAACACTTCAGCTCCTTTTTAAAACATTTGAAAGGAAAACTGATTGAAAAACTAAAGCTAACAGGAAAAGTGTACAGATGGCTGTTAATACTTGGGACCGATGGATCTCGAAAATTACAAGCGGGAAAAAAATTCCTTTTGTACCTGTAAAAAAAAAAAAAAAAAAAGAGTGAAAGGTTTTGACAATTATACTCCTAGTGTACCGAACAATTATTTTGACAGCTTTGCCAGCAAGTGCATTTCAGAGGTAAGGGGTGAGCAGGTGGGACAGACCTCATTTCACTGGGACATTGTGGCTGCAAGTTTCACACTTATTTCACACTTATTTCACACTATTTCACACTATTTTTGAAAGTTTACATTTCTTCTATGAATTACTGCATACATTGTATTTTACTCGCTGCTCATTTTATGAAGTTCCGCTCCTGATTCATTATTCATCGGCCGGGGCTACGTTATCGAGCCGAATTCTCGCACGGGTGAAAGAGCAGCAGTTATGACAGTTTAACGCCACCCCAACTCAGAGTGTCCCCAGAATATTTGGGCTATTTGGGAAGGTGATAAATCAGAGCACGGCGATGAATTTAGCGTGTTCTTCTAAGAACGCAAACCAAGGATCAAAAGAAAAAAAATACAGAAATCAAACTTCATAAAGGAGGCATAAAATAAAATTAGACTGTTGTAGCCCCTCCCAATCCAACTGCCATTTGGTTCTTCGGTGGGCTGATACCAAAAGGGCTGTCTGCTGTCTCCCACCATTTTCACTCCTGTCACCAAATCAAAGTCCTTCTTTCAACCCATCACCATATTACATGGTTTCATTCACTACCCACAGCAGGTCTTACTGCCATCTTTGGTGCAGCCAGTACTAAAATGTTTATTTCGTGTGACAATTCCATTAAGCATTCAGTCATAATGTAGATGTTATCATCTAATTCACTTCACAGAGACACTATGTCAACTAATAGAGATAATCTTTACTTTGACAAGACTTCATTTCTGCACTTCTGCAGTTTCCTTGATGAGCCAGAATCAAGTCTGTTGTATGAGATCATAGTTACAAAGTTCAGATGCTTTTTCTGCATCCCTGTGTCCTATTTCCATTGTCTCTGAACTTTACTCTCCCTTGTTTTGGCTCCCTGAACATCCTGTTCAGCAGGTAAACATTAATAACAATTTCTACTCAATAGCATTGTCATAAATCATACACTGGCACAGTCAAACACCTACAGCACGCAAGACCTACCTACGCAGTTGAAGAAAGTTTCCTTCTTGCACTGGCTTGAACACCCATCTCCATTCACAGAATTCATGTCGTCACACTGTTCACCCAAAAGTCTAAAAGATGATATAATAACGAATGCAAATTTTTACTCCTCTTTTCATCACTAATTTGCCTTTTTTCAATTGTCCACAGAGAATAAATCTGCCAGTAATACGGCTGAGATGATAATGGCTTCTGGGTCTTATATTCTCACCTTTGGACATGGCCATCACCGCAGTATGGCGCCCCCAGCTGGTGAATGAGTGGAGGTGATGGTTCACTTTCAGCTCTCTTGGATACGGTCAGCACTTGATATGTGTACACTACACCGGGCTCCACATCTCTGTTTTGCACAAAAGATAAACACACAGACAATTCACCTAGTTAAATGCACAATATAATAACACATGGTATGATTTGCAGGAGGCTGCACATTCCAGGACGGGGGGGGGGGGGGGGTCAGGTGATGAGCACATTGATTCACCTCCCCTGTGTGTCTTTCTCTCAGCCCCAACACTGTTGCAGTGCTCTGTGCGTTTACCCTTGTGATGACATCTTTTGCTTTGGCTCCTCTTTTCCCGCCACCACTCCAGTAGCCGAATTTAGCCCCTGCTTTCTCCCATCCCCGTGTCACGTGCTTCTGTTCACTGTCCCGCCTGGAACAACTGTGACATACAAATATAGTTCCTCGCCTCATAAATGGCTACCATTCTTGGCATTCCTGCTATTTCCGCTGACAAAGGCTTCCAAATGTGTGTCCACGACGGCTGTAATGTTCATTAAAACATTGAAGCGGAGGTGCTAATGGCAGACTCTGTCAGCTTGGACGGCCATCATGGCCTTCTCATATTGCTCTGTGGAGATTTTGATACATTCTTTATTGCACTTGGTGTTGAGCTAGTTGATTTTGGTCGCCTGAATAAGAATATCTCACTGCTGTGGTGCAACTGATCCCTCCCAAACAGCAGTAGGTGCTAGAGAACATGATGCGGTGGGATCATACCTGTGAAAGACAGGTAAACACCACTTTCTGCATATTTACAGTGCAGGAGTATAAAACAAGAAAATAATGGAATTCTGTACCATACAAACTGTTTTTTTTTTAGCAAATACAGGAGTTCAGCTCTAACTAGGATTCAGTTCAACACAGTTATGTACTGAAATATTTCTCATTAAGCTTAGCATAAATAAAATATAATACATTTTTAAGTTTTTTTCACAGTAGCATAATGCATGGAGGAAAAGGTAGGCCAATGGCCACATAGTGACTATCACAAATAGGAGTACGCATACAACAGAATGAAAGGATGGAACAGAGTCTCGCTGGGGATTTGTCTAAGAAAACAGAAGGTGCTTTGGAGCATATAAGTCCCTAGCTGTCCTTTATAAATCCTTTGGTTATTTATCTCCTGAACCACTGCATGCAGCATGAAAGTAGCCAAAAACAGATACATTTGTAGTCTTCTGTGAAACAAGTAAACAGAGCATCACATACTCATGTTGTCCTTTCCTATTATAAACAGCTCTCTTTGAGAAAGTCATTCTCGGTAGACAGGAATAGAATTAGTCCGGGTGGGAGCTCATGGAGCTTATCCAGCGGAAGAATATGAACACTTACACTCCACACTGCAGCACATTTTCTTCACAGTACAACTGTAATCTCTTTTTACAATAACTGAGCCTCCAAAAACAATCATAAATGTGTGAATAAAAGGGGATGATATTTACAAGTGTCTGTGAATGTCGATAAAAACATAACCAGGTTCAGTTTAGCAACTGGATTTCTTCCAAATGATTTTTAAAAAAACTTGGCAAAGTTCTCCTGGTCACTTAGTGTCTCAGCACTGATATGCTGACGAGGGAATGTCACCTTGCTTTAGTTCCCCGGGAGGCCAACAAGGATTCCTCATAGTCTCGTGTGACACACAGTGGGGTCTTCCTGCTTCACTCAACGCATCAGAGATACAGTATAGCACACAAGGTGACAATTAGCCGCCAGCTTTGTGGAACAGAGTCCTGGTGACGTCCCTTTGCCACAAAGACCCGGTTGTACTGATGAGATGACAGAGGAGGACTGGGCCCATGGCCAAAGCAAGTGGATTCAAATCCAGCCAGGACAGACCTAACTGGAAAGTGCATCCCATCAAGAGGCAAATCATCGCAGCAACTTGCAGGAACAGCACAGTAAAGCAATCACAATTGGCCACACTTATTGTCAAATATGAAACAATCAAAACCAGATGAATCGGACATGTACTGCAAAAAGGTTTATAAGTAACTGATTAAAAGTTATCCCTCTATGAAAAATAGAAATGGCTTTATTGTGCTGTCTTTTGGATTTTCAGATTTTGGGAATATGCAACATAATCAAGAAAACAATACAAACAAGATTAGAGAAACGCTGTGGGTTCAAACAGGGTTATCAGACCACAAACTGCTGTAGAGCAGCCCTTTAGCTAATGAGGGAGGAGGGAATAACATTTCATTAGTGGCAAGCAATTCTCATTAACATAAAGGCTAGTTTTTTATGTACCAATTTGTTTCTGTTTATCCAAGCTAATAGCTGGGAACTCAAACACTGAATGGCTCCAATAAAAATACAAAGGATTCTGGCTTCAAGAATGTGTTCATAGATTTACTGCAGGAAAGCATGTTTTAACCATGTCCATTTAAATTGGGGAATTTGAGTAAAAAAATATGTTTCTGGTGTTCTGGGTCCTATTCTTTTGCCAGTCATTATTTTTCCTTCCAAAAGATAAAATGCTTTATGATGCATTTGACAGGAAAGCCAGCAGAAAATTTGAATGAAGAAATATCACAAAATTCCACTATAAACCAACCAGCAGTAAAAAAATACCGTCCTATCTAGAAAGTTCCTTTAACACATCAAAGCAGTGGGGCAGGCTTACACATTGCACTCTTTTTAATGTTGTACTGTCCTGGCTTCACCAAGGTAAACTTTAGATTAACTTGCCAAACCCTATTGTTCAAGCAAATAAGAGAATCACTAGGAATAAAAGAAAACACAAGTCTGAGAGATCTGAAATTGATAGAAATAACTGGTCATTTCAGTAATAAAGCAAATATTTTGCACGGCCTTTTATGAAATCAGAGCTGAAGTCTACCCATCCAGTTTGGATAGATGCCGGAAGGACACTCAAATTACCAGTGGGGATATTTCGTGAACAGGGTTGTAAGACATAAAAATGCAGGTTAAAAGCAGGATGCTGCCAGGTTGCGGAGTGCGGCTCTAAGGGCAGGCAGTCAGACGCCTTGGCCGGCTTTCAGGGAAGGTTACTGGTGGCACATTGAGTCGTACTATAAACCCAGATGTTGTTTTTTTATATACTAGCACCTCATGCCAGGACACGAGTTCATTCAAGGCTTTCCTAAAGGTTCTCTGTCATAATAAACAACTATTCCCCACTGCTTCCACTGCTAATCCTCATGTTGCTTTAGGTAAAGAGACTTGAGCCTTCTTACAGGTTTTTAAAGTACAGATTTACCCTCATATGCAGCCTAGCATGGAATCATATGGCACTACATTTTATAACGCCTATGAATCCTAACATACATCGTTAAACACTGTATACTTATTTTTATAGACCCTTAGGTTGCTTTTCCTGAAAGTTTCTGTTTAACAAATACATGAAATAATACATAAAGTAGGGGACAAGTATTCAGCAATAATGGCAAAAGTTACAAAAATATAGAGAGGGAGGGAGATTGGTAATACAATCAAGATATTAGGGTGATGTTTCTGTGTTCAAATATAGCAGTGTAGTCAGTCACTGAGTAACCAATGCAGTCGCACGCAATATAAAAGCAGTCATGCTCTCTTGCAGGAGAGAAGTGAATGGTTTGAAGAGTTTAAAAAGCTTAAAGCCACTCTGAACTCTTTTTATTTGATGAGATTTGGCCCTGAGACTCTTTCACTTTGATTACACTGCAGTGTTCGAGTCTGCAATGCCATTTTTGACACCACAATAAATCTTAGCACCAAGAAGAGAAAGAAAGCAAAGGAAAACTTTAAAAAGCATGTTAAGTCAGCATGACCCAGCTTTGTAACTAATGCACAGACAGAGAGAGGAGAATCCTCCTGGTTTATATCAAAGGAATTTCTTTTTTTTTTTTTTGGGGGGGGGGGGGGAGGCTGGCTTTACAAGCAAATTGCCATACAGTACAGTATCATATATATAGACACCTTCAAGTATTAATCACATACAATTCTTATAACCACATCATTTTTTTTTATATTTAATCCTATTTCTATTTGTATATGAATGGCAACTATTATCATCCCTGAATTTTGGAATTTAAACTATACCAACAATCAAATACCAGGTCACCAACATTTCTCAACGACCTGTACATGTTTTTGCGGTTCATCGATAGCCCGTTTAAAAAGTATTGATGGGAAATACATTACTTTGCTGTTCCATCCGATGCTTAAAGTCTTTTGTATTTTGTATTTGCTAAGGCACCAAAATTACATAAAGAACAAACCGATCATGCCAAAGCAAACATGTTAGTAGACTTTGTTGAATTAACGAATACTTATATGAAATACCAGAGTACTCACTGGAAACAAAACCTACCCACATATTCTTGCATCTGTACTGTTCAAGTGCATTGCATCATGACAAGCCATTGGAGTTTACTGTCTCATCAATCATGATTGATGCTGCTTCCAAACATTATTTAAACAACTATTGTCTGCCTCTCCACTTGTTCCAAAATTTAAATGTAAAACAGACCCTTAGAGAAACTCTCAGGTAGGTGAATGCATGTTCAGGTTCAGATATAAAGACCCTGTTTTGTAAGGAAAGAGATATCATTCACTGATATTTCCCATTTTTAAAGAAAAGGGAAAAAAATTAAACTGTACAAAAGAATTTGTTATAAATGCTTATGGCCACATATTACTCTATCTCTGCTGGGTTCTACAGCATAGAAGGATTTTTTTTTATTATAGGAGATGTGCAGAGTATCCATTAAACACTGACTCACAATGAAAAATAATCTTTTAAAAAGTCGCATTTCAACAAGTTATGGTGGTACGAATCAAGAGAAGTGAACACAGGTGTAAAGACGAGGATGATTTACACTTGGATCGATGTGCATTATTTATAATGCAATCAGCAAATGTCAGTCCTCTGGGGTCTTCCTCCTGAAAGAAGGCATCTTCCTGTCTTTCAGTCTGAGTGGATAAGTATATTTTTCAGGCTCCAACTCTGGAATGTGTGATAGGCAATGACATCATGCACAGGGTCCCCCTGGGGGATGCCCTGAAGTGTGGGAGAGTGCGAGTTAGCGCCAGGGTCTGGGATTCTGTGCCTGCCT